GACACCTTCATAATCATGACATGACACATGTCATGAATATGAAGGAGGTTTTATGCATGTTTATGACAACTGTCATTAAGTGTCATTCGCTCAGTTATGTAATTTTTAATGCAAAGATGACATTATTTGACCTAACCCTACCCCTAACCATAGCCCATAACAGACATCTCAGACAATGTCATCTTTGCATTAAAAATTACATAACTGAGCGAATGACATTTAATGACAGTTGTCATAAACATGGATAAAAAACCTTCATATTCATGACATGTGTCATGTCATGATTATGTAGGTGTCATGTCATGATTATGAAGGTGTCATGTCAGTCTTATGCACACCCCTTCAAGTAAAGTGTAACCACATAAACACGCAAAGCTCGTACCGGACATAGTACATGATGAGGGGCGGCGTCCGAGGAGGCCGCCAGCTCTGGAGTGAAAGCAGAAAGCGTCACCACTTGCGCTCTGAATGGCGTCAAGAGCTACTTGGGCACGTAGCCCAATCTTGGTTTGAGTGTGACATTACAATCACCTGGCCCAAATTGCATGCAAGGAGCATTCACCGATAGCGCTTGTAAGTCCCCCCACGCGCTTGACCGAAGCAAGGGCTCCTTCAGGCCGATAGACTGAAGCGGCTCAAAGGGCGGAAGAGCCAGCACCCCCAGCACCAGAGCCAGATCCCAGGATTGCACAGTGGGAGGGCGAGAGGGTTTCAGCCATCTCGCACCTCTCAAAAATCTGATCACCAAATCGTGTTTACCGACTGATCGCCCATTGATAGTAGCGTGAGAGGCTGAGATAGCTGCAACATAAACCTTAAGAGTGGAAGGCATACTGCCGCCGTCCATCCACTGTTGCAGAAAGCCCCGAATGTCAGACACGAGACACGAGTTCTCCGGGTCACAGCCATTCGATTAACACCATTTAACAAAGACTGCCCATTTAAGAGCATACAATCGAGCCGTAGAAGGAGCTCGCACCTCCGTAATCGTGTCCATCACGTGGAGAGATAATGAGCCCAGGTTTACCGGTTCCCGCACACCATCCGCACATGAAATTTCCACCATTCAGGGTTGGAGTGCCATATTGAGCCGCCCGCTTGAGACAGGAGGTCCCGTCTCAGCGGAATCTGCCACAGGGAAACTGTCAGTATCTCCAGCAGGTCGGGAAACCATGGTCTGTTTGGTCAGTACGGAGCAATTAGAATCACCGGCGCCCTCTCCTCTTTGATTTTGTGCAGCACTTGTGGCAAAATCTTCAGTGGGGGGAACGCATACAACCGGGCTTTCGGCCACGGCATTGTGAGTGCGTCCCCGCCCAGGGGAAAGCGCGACAGAGAGAAGAACAGAGGGCAATGCGTGTTCTCCTCTGTCGCAAACAGATCCACTTCTGCCTTCCCGAACCGCTCCCAAATCAGTCTCACTGACCAGGGGTTTAGCTTCCATTCCCCATGAGGAATTCCATTCCTCGATAGCATATCCGTGCTGTTGTTCAGGCAACCCGGAACGTGTACTGCGCGAATGGAGAGCAGATGCCGATCGGCCCACAGCAACAAGCGTGCCGTCTGTTCAAGCCAAATCTGGAGGGGGCGCATATAAAGAAGACCGAGGTGACACACCGTCGCGGCTGCCGCCATCCGTCCCAAAAGCCTCTGATATTCTTTCAGCGCCACAGGGCGTCCCAGGCTGAAAGTATCCAGAGCGGACATTAAATCTCGTATACGCTCTTGACACAGACGCGCTCTAATCGAGACCGAGTCCAGCAGCACCCCCAGATATGTAATCGATCGGCTGGGGCATAACGCGCTCTTCTGTGTGTTCACGCAGAGACCCAAGCTCTCCAAAAGAAGTAACAGGGCGCGTTTGTGGCTGTTAAGCACATCTTCTGAATGGGCCAAAACGAGCCAATCGTCCAAATAATTCAAAATGTGCATTCCGCTCGCTCTCAGGGGGGAAAGTGTCGTATCCACACATTTTGTGAACGTATGCGGGGGCCAATGCTAGCCCGAACGGCATTACCGTGAACTGATATGCTGTGCCCTCAAACGTAAATCTCAGAAAGCGCCTGTGTCGAGGCACGATCTGGATATGAAAATACGCATCTTTCAGATCCACCAAGATAACAGACACAACAGAGACATTTTCGTGGTCACCTGCAACCGCCAAGGGGACCTCGTGAGAACATTTTAGACCCTTTGCGGCGGGCCCGCTGCTCGGCGATCTCCTCCTCAGAATCCTCCCGTCAGGAATGAGACCTCTGATCTGATGGAGGGGGGCCCCCGGGACGACCGTCCTTCTTCTTGGGGCCGCGATGCATCTTCGGCACACTCTGCCATGCGGTTTTGGCGCAAACAGAAGGCTCCTGATCTGGCGCCGATGCAGTGGGAGCTGGGGGGGCTTGCTTTGCTGGGCGGCGGGAAGCAGACGTTGACCTACTGTATGCTGAAGGCTGCGTCGCTCTAGCACGTCGCGGCAGGAAGTGACTCATGGCTTTGGAGCGTTTCTTATCTTCTTAGAAGTGCTCCGCTATGGCCTCCACGGCATCTCCAAAGAGGACGGAGGGAGACAATGGCACGTTGAGCAGAGACTTCCTGTCAGCGTCAGCCACAGATGCTGGTGGAGCACCACCATGTAAACCATGCTTCGTCCGATCGCGTGGGCCGTCTTTTTTGTGGCTATTATTGCGAAATCCATCTTCTTGTGTTTTCTACACAGCTGTCTTGAAGTAGGATGCTTGAAAGAGGAAGATTCTGAGTTTATGCCACCATTGGCATTGGCAATTGGCCACCACTTCACTGGTGTGTTGTGCAATAAGATTTCAGGTAGGTTAAGGAAGGAAGGGAGTCCCCGTCGTGTCAGATTCCTGATGCAATGTCGAAGTGAACCGTCTTCGAAAGGGAACCCACAATACTATAAGGTTTGACTACATCATTGCTTTACGAGGAGGAGGAAATGGCGGCCTGAGTGGCTTCAACATTTTGGCTGCATCTGAAAACCTAGGCTGCTGACTTGCTGCCTTATCGAGCAATGACTTTGCAGGCAGCATTTGTCCACGAAGGCACCTCACGAAAATGATTTCGGACAGGCTTCTGAGGCAGCGTAATGGTTTAATGATCCACACAACAAAATCGAACAAGCTTTGGTGACAACTGAGCTAACATTTAATTACTATAATACTGATTTCTTGATAGAAATAACATAAAAAATGCAAAAAGTTGGTAAGAAACATACATTTACATATAAACTGACCACCAAACCCAACTTTCTGACGCAATCTTTATTTTTTTTAGCTCAACCATCACGGAATGGAATGCACAGGATTGTGGGATATCAAAGTCAGCGTAGGATACATCTATGCTGCCTTCAAAAATCGACCAGATGAAGGCATCTCATGAGACAGGAAGTGAAGCTAACTTTGGATTAGAACGTGCCTTGATGCCTTCCTACCTTAGAATGTGTCCTCCGAAGACAGCATTTTCCAGTTTTCAGACACAGCCGTTGTCTGTCAGAGACCATAAGGTATGTGAGTATAAATTTGCTCTTCACTCGCTGAAATTGACAGGTGATTTTTTCTTCTCAGATGTTAAAAAATTAAGGCAATTATCAGTGTCTTGATAAAATGTTAATTTTCCAATAAAAGGTGATAAATGTTTACATGATGTGTTACATTGAATTACCCCTTTTGACTCATTTAGGTGAGAAAAAAGAAAGAAAAAAAAAGAATTCTCCCATTAGCACATCTGTGTGTTAATGTTACATAATTATTTAAACTATTGAATTACTTTTGAGACTACATTTGATTTGATCATGTGTACCACATTCAACTTAGTAAGTATTTAGTACTGGCGTCAAGATGCTCTGCAGTATGTCAAGTGGCCATGAAAGTTAATGGTTTGGTATTTTTTGTCTGCGAGAAAGTTTGGTGAATGAACACAGGGATTAGTAAATGAATTTTATTCTCTCAAAACAAGAAACAATTAAAAAATCATATTGTGTGGCAATTTTCCCATCTCCACAAACTGTGACTCACTCCTCATTTGACAACCAGTGTCCGTTGCGTTGAACAACATGACGAGAATGAACATTGTCCAGTCCACTAAGAGTTCAGAGACTTCGTACAGCACCATCCAATGGGATCTGTTTTTATGACATTTTCTTTATAACAATAATAAAATAAAATATACTTGCAACCTTTTTTTCCAAGTCAACCTTGAATAAATATAAATTTTCTTCTTTTTTCCCCCATGTTTTTTAGGTTTCTTTCATCTGTTTGATTTTCTTTTCTTTTATTCTTTTCAAAACTTCAAGAAAAATTAGTGCCAAGAGGTGGAATGTTGCGTTGAATGTCTGAACCGTCGGCCACAAAAGCTCGACCCTGACCTGAATCTGTGGACGACAGATAGGGGGGATGGCCAAGCCTCCGGTCCACATGCACTGTACACAAAACTGCAAAAAATTCCCAGATGTCTCTATCAAAACATGCTGTATTACTCAGACGGTGTGCTCAATCTATGTTGCAGACCCTTTTCAACATGCTTGCTTTGAATGAATGAGCCATTCTAGTGTAATAGAACACAGTGGAATCATGACAGACCCATCTGATAATCTACAGCTCCGGCTCCACATGAACAAAGAATTATGGCTGCATTTGAAGGGAGGAATGTACAATTTTCATGTTCGTTTTTATAGCAAAATCGATATTGTACATTTATTGTTTTCCTCGGCCATCCCTTGCTTTTTTTCCATTAATAATATGAGATACCAAGTCTCACCAGACCACACCTGTAACCGAGATCTGTAAAAATACAGAAAAATATTCTAAAGGATGACAATCACATCGTTATCATTTTGCATCCAGTCTCTTTGAAAATCATGCACTAGAGAATTTCATATTAAAAATAATACAAATTGTTGAAAATGGCTGATCTGGTTATCCTTAAATAAGTTTCTTCCTCTCTTTCTTTCTTTTTTTTTTGCAAGTCTTGAGGAAAATAAACTTACAATTTTTTAAAACAACTTTGCATCCATGCAAAAAAAAAAAAAAATCATACATTTCATACAATACATCAACAAAGAGAACATCATACCGGAGCACAAAAAGGTCCATTATTTAATTATTTAATTTAATTTTTTTTTTCTTCTCAGAATTCTGTTGTTTCCTGAATCGAACAGGAACTCTGGCCATATCCATTTCCTCATCACCGAACCTTGAAGAGCGATCCAGTGGAGATCTGGCTTGATGTAGGGTCATTCCCATGAGAATGTCATCTCTCAGGCTACCCTTTCCTGTCCCATCTTAGCCAAGTGCTTCTCTCTTTATGGATCTTCTTTTGACAGCTTGGCTTACAGTAATGGCTACAATGCATCAAGTTCTAGATAAGAAACACTGACATCTCTTTGAATTCAACAGAGAGAAAACATCCAGAGTAAAACGGCGTCTTCCTATTCTGGTGGAAATCAGCACTCTTAACGTCCTACAGTTAAGAGTCAGACTCCACTGAATCCCTGGCTGCATCTCTTCAGCGGAACGGAGAGACTTCCTCTGTCGTTCTTTCCCAGCGTGTGACAGCAGCATACATTTTCTTTTCGGTTATTTTTTTGGCAGAAGGACGTAGGCCTTTTCTTAGCCTCTTTTCGCATGGGCTCAGAGGACACAACATCAAGCATGCAGTGTAACCAGGACGTGACCCGTCGAGACCGTCTCCTCTCTGTCTGTAGCTGGAGCTACTCACGCCGCTCTCTACCGCTCACCTCCTCGTGCCGCTACGACCGAACGTTGGAACTGTCCAGGCCTGAATCTGGAGGTTTACTACTTAAAGGTGCCAAGGTTGGGTCCACTAATGAGGTGGGAGGGAAGAGCTTGTACCAGCCAATCACCATGTTGGTCAGCTCTAAATCGTCTAACAGGATCTGGGCGGCTCCCATGAAGGATTTGTGGTCCATGCGTCCATAGTCCCCCCAAACAATTATCTGTAAAGAAAGACACGATTGGTAAGGAGTTTCAGGAGATGTGGTGCAGTGTTGTTATTGTTAACTAAAATTAAAACCTAAAAAAAAAGTCTTACACTAAAATTGAAATAAAAATAAATGAAAGCTAAATAGAAATATTAAAAAAGCACATGATAAATTATGAAAAATTGACTAAAATTAAAAAAGGAAACTGAAAATATCAAAACAAAAGCCAAAATATTAATAAATACTATAATAGTAAATAAATAATACTAAAATAACTGATGTGGTGAAAACATATCTAAGTCAAATTTCCCCCCCAAATCAAAAGAAATAAGAAATAAATTATATTTGGCATAACAAAATAAAAATTTGTTTGCGTGTCATCATTTAATGACAATTAAGATTACATTAAATATTGTTCTTCCTTATTGGTCCTGGTGTTACCTGTAAAACCTTTCCTTCAGGATTCTCCTCAAACTGAAGCTGCTGTTGATAAAGAGGATCCAGTGTTTTTCTCGCCGTCCGTGTTTTCTTTTTGTTGATGCACTTCCCATTGTCCAGCAGATAAACTTTTACATAAGGTGCTGCAAATGAAGACCGCAAGAATTTACATATAAACGTCACAAAATAGTCCAGGGACAGGTCATATTTAAAGAAAAACATGTATATTGTGTCATTATGAGGCATACCTGGCGTCTGTTTGTTCCCTGGTTTGCCCACCAGGCCTCGAGCCCGAATAACTTCAACATCCAGCCTCTCCTTCCTGTGCACCATACCAATCTGGATGTCACCTGCGCAAAAGGCCACATCCAAACTCTTAGAGCAGACAAAAGTTCTCTTTATAGAAACCGTTTGATAAAAGTTACTACAGTGCTATGGACAATCATGACTTTTTTGGTGGAGAATCATGTGTTAAGCCCAAAGTATTTTTGTTTCTTTAAACATACAAAAAAATTTTTAACTACTTTTACCTTGCACATATGGCTTTGTTTTTTGTTTTTTGGACTTATTACTTCGTCCACAAGGTGGCAACACTATCGGCCTGTTGTTTCACAGTACATGAGGTCTAAAACATTTTGAGCTTGTCCACTTTCGACCATTTTCAGAGGTAGCAAACCAAAACAATCGATTCATACTTCACTGTGTTGTGCCAAAACACAGGTTATGATCAAAATCGATGTTACCATTTGTATTCTTTCCATGCGCTTCCTTTCCCGCTTGTTCGTAAGCAGTGTAATGGCTTCATTTATTCAAAGTATTCGTGCACAGCTTTCGGCGTTCCAGCGCAAGTGATGTAGCATGTGACGGAATTAGAGGGTCTAAACCAGGGGTAGTCTCGTGTTGCCAGACCTTCAGACTGACGGCAGAAGGTCTGGGAACTTTGGCCGCTTTGAATGGTGGTGACCAGACCTGCTCCTGGAGGGCCACGTCCTTCAGAGTTTTGCTCCAACCTTGATAAAAACTCACCTGCCTGTATCTTTCCAGTAACCTTTAGACCTTGTTTAGCTTGTGATTTGATTAGGGTTAGAGCTCAACTCTGCAGTACTGTGACTCTCCAGGACCGACATTAGTCAACCCTGGTCTAGGATCTAGACCAGGGGTGTCCAATCCTGCTCCCGGAGAGCCATGTCCTGCAGAATTTCGCTCCAACCAGCTCTAACACACTTGCCTCGAAGTTTCTAGTGAGTCTGAAGACCTTGATTAGCTGGTTCAGGTGTGCTTAATTAGAGTTGGAGCTAAACTGCAGGAAATTGGCCCTCCTGGAGTATGTTTGGACACCCCTGATTTAGATGAAATTCCAACACAAGCGGTAACAGGAGACGCATTTAAAAGTCATGTTAAGACCAGGTGTAAATGGTAATTGAGATAGAGTAATTGAAAACGCATCTTAATACCAGGTGGAAATAGAACCATAGTCTTCTGTTTCATGGATGAAATGTAACAACATCAAACTACTTGAGACAAAACTGACATTTATTTTGTGCTTTATAGTGTCTTATACAATACCAAAGAAATTTGTTCATGTGAACAACAAAAGAAAAGAGTGAGTGATGATACTAACCCATTGGAGGCGTGGCCAATGTCTGTCTCCCTGCCAGCTGGGCGGGGCCAAGACCATCCAAAAACTCAGTGAACTGGCTGTCTGAAGAGATCTTCACTCCAGGGAAGATTAGACTTTGAACAGATAATGGACAGAACATCTGTAAATCAGGTGTTAATAGCCTCTGACAAGACAAGATGTCATCACTGACACAAAACCAGCCAACCAGGAATGGTGGTGATGACATCATGTGATTTAACAATATGTGGACCATCATATTCAGAAGTAGATTTTTACAGTACTTACTTTCCAGGCTTCACCTTATCGCCATCATCTGTGGTCTCACGGCTGGGCTGCCGTGTCATCCTGCTCTTCATCTCGACGGCTAAACCAGTCTCTACACTCCGCTGGATCGCCAGACGCACCGGCTTCTTCTTCTTACCCTCCTCTGAAAATAACAACAAGGGGAAAGGAAGATGAGTAAATAAAAAAAGACAAATGTGTGACACTTCGAACCCCAGTGTCTCAAGTAGTCCATCTTTTGGTCTTGGTCTTGTCATGGACTTGGACCATGTCCGGTCTGCAGATATGTTTTGTGGTCTGTGCTAACTGAAGCAAATGATCTGCTCAGTGCTATCGTGTATCTCAGAGCACACTGTGTGCTGTGGAGGTTCATGTAACACTGACGTAAAACCAGGCTTCATTCACACCACAGGAATCATTCAGAGCCTCTTCCAGTCTCTGTCTTGTCTCAGACTCAACCTACTCAGGTCTTAGCCTGGTCTTGAATGAGTTGGTCTCGACATAACACTGCCACCACACACCCATCTACCATTGGTTGGGCAAACATACAGCCCCATCCCAAACTTGCACCAGAAGAGTTGAGCCAAACAGCAAAAACAGCAAAACATGTTTTGAAAGCACCACAGAGCAATAGTGATCATGCTACAAATGGTTTCTTATTGTTGTCTCTACTCATCAAGCTAGGTTGGAGAGAGTATTTTAATATCAGAAAATGCATTTTACCCTTTAAGAAAAAAAAACATGGTTGACAACCACTGAATGAGATGCTTAAAAAAACATGTCCAACAGATGACCAACAGAGGGCGTCAGTCTGCCAGTCTGAGCAGCAGGACAGTCCTGAGTGACCTCCAGTCAGCTTATACACGTATCTATCTATCTATTAGGGGTGTAACGGTACACAGAAGTCATGTACGGTTCGTTACGTACCTCGGTTTTGGGGTCACGGTTCAATACGAGTTCGGTACAACAGGAAATGTATTTGTTTCATTCATTTTGAACAGACAGTAGTGCTACAAGCATGTATCATGACCAGATGTTTTTGATTTGAATTAGATTGTATAATTTCAGGATTTAAAGCAAAAACAGAATGGTCTGCCTTTAGATTTGTGAAATTAGGCTACATAAGACACCTGCGCAAAACAGAAACAGCAGACGGACTGAATGAAAATGCAGATTCACTCTTTGACAGCAGGTGGCGCTTATGGAACAGCAGCGATACAGCGTTTCCTTGCTTACCGCTGTAAACAAAGCAGCGCTGTGCTTATAAACACTAATATGCATTATATGGAGGTAAGGCGAAAAGAAAATTCCATCGAAACATTTCTGAAGACTCTCAGAGATGCATTCATATAAACCCCCACATATCTGTCTTCCTATATTTCGAGAATCTCGAACAGTGAGCTTGATCTGCCTGGTACAGTATTTTCTCCTCTTTACAGACTTCATAAAAATTCCACACAAATTACATTTTGGGAAATGATTGCAATGCAGTTTGTGTGCAACTTTCCCACACTGCTGATTTATAACAAGCAGGCGGTTCTTCAAGCTCTTGCGTGCCATCTGAACTTGCCATTCTTGCTTTGGGTTGGTGCGCTGATTGTCTTCTGCTCTTTTCTGTTGTGACGATTAGCATTGCATTACCGCGCGCGCCCCCTTCTGGATTGATCGCCTATGACTGACTGTATTCATCCTCTGACTGCATGAACCGAACCGTGACGTCAGTACCGTGATGGTTCGGGACGAATGCATGTACCGTTACACCCCTACTAACTATCTATCTATCTTAATGGTACACTACTACATCTGCCTTATCCAATCCAAGCAGACATAACATATATCACACAAACATAAATCACACATCACATACGGCTCTTTGGCTTTCAGGTGGTCACAAACCAAAAAGCTTTCAAAAGAACTGGACATAGCAGAGCCTGTCACACATGGCATGTGGCTTCATTCTTACCTCCGTCTTTCTTGTCAAAGGAGTTCATGCAGGGAAAGTAGACGGCCAGTGCTTCGAAGGAGGCAGACAGACTAAGCCGGCTCTGTGAGCGCTGCATTCGCATGCCGGGGAGAGCGGTGCTGCCATCCTGCCCTTGTCTGCCCATTTTACCACCCCGACACCCTTAAACACCTCTAATAACACTGAAAGAGGGTGGTAAACGTGTAGAGCTGATGCTGTGAGACGGTTTTGGAGAAACAGGTTTGGCAGGATTGTGGTCAAAACCTCTCATCGGTAGCAGCCACGAGTCGTCTTAGTTCTCAGGTCGATATGCGGAGAGGATGACTGTCTGACTGTCTCCTCTGCAGAGCGCTACTTCATCTGAGGGGTGGGAGGGGGAGACGGCAGCATGTGCACGTGGCTTACAGATGATGTGGCCAATCAGAGGCACAGAAACTAAGAGACCCCTCAAATGCTTCTCCAGGAGACAGAGCTCTGCCTAGAGATATGACTGCACACAAACACATACACTTGACTTGCCTTCTGACTGCAGCTTCATCAGTTACTACACACACACAAGCCCATCCTAACTGACAATTATATGCACACAACAGTGGTTAAAAGTAGCAAAGCTACTCACTTGATTACATTTTTTTAGTAGCATGATAATGCATGCTACTTCATGCAGCATTTTCCAGTAACAAGCTACATTTTTCAATGAAATGCTACACCACTGCATTGTGCACACATATGTACAGTAGAGTAAACAGAAACAACAGATGGATGCATACATAAAGTCAGCTGAAAGAGATGGTTGTTGGAAAGACTATTAGGCCATAGTTCAATTAGAACATTTAAGTAATTTTTATAAATGTGCCTTACAAAAAACATTACTGGTGTCCCTCCTGAGACAAAACAAAGGCATTGATATATTTTAAGATCAATCAGTGCAAGTTTCTTTCAGTTGAAACAGCTCAGACTTACATTTTAGTCTGGGACTAGGCTTAAGGCCCGTTCACACCAAGGACGATAACTTTAAAGATAACGATAAAGATATAGTTCTAAAAATCGTTCTCAATATTAAAGAATAGCAGAGTCCACACCACAACTATAACGATAACGATACAGAGGAATGATATCGTTGTGATCCCTTTCAAAACGATTTTTTTTCCAGCTGATGAACGATAAAACATTGACAGCCAATCAGAATCCATCCTGCTGTAACGAGCTCGAGAATTTAAAGCGGCAGACGCACGTGCGCTTAGAATAAACAGACGATATCGTTCGCTGGTGTGGACGCTAATATCGTTATCTTTATAGTTATCTTTATAGTTATCGTTCTTGGTGTGAACGGGGCTTTAAGCCTTGTCTGTGAAACCGGGGGTTTAAGTAGTAAGATTTAGTCTTAACTAATAACGCTCGACTAAGGGCATTTAAAATAAATGCTGTTCTTTTGAGCTTTCTATTTATCAAAGAATCCTGAAATCACAGTTGCCATAAAAATATGAAGCAGCACAACTGTTTTCAACATTGATAATAATAATAAATGTTTCTTGAGCAGCAAATCAGCATATTAGAATGATTTCTGAAGGATCATGTTACACTGAAGTAATGATGCTAAAAAAATTCAGCTTTGATCATAGGAATAAATTACATTTGAAAATATATTACAATAGAAAACAAGCATTTTAAATTGTAATAATATTTCACAATATTACTGGTTTTACTGGTTATTTTTTATCAAATATTTTGACCGGTGTTGTATCTTACATAAACTCTGCCCCTAAATGGCACAATCAATTATTGAATAATTTTCATGTCAGTTAAGCTACTCTTCCTGTATAATTTGGTGGTTCTTGTCCAGAATATGCTGTTTGACACTGTAAAGCTGCTTTGACACAATCAGTATTGTATAACGCGCTATATAAATAAAGGTGACTTGCCTTTACTGTGAAAAGGTCCAGACTTTCTGCGATCTTCATTCAATTATGTTAATTATATTTTCCATTGTTCTTCATTAAACCACTACACTTGCATAAAACCTCATCTTTCAAAGCCTTCTGGTACAAACATTGCAAAGTTATGTTCAGTAAGCTTTACCATTAACAGAGTGGCAACTAGCAGTCTGGCTTTGGTTCTGTACAGGCATGAGAGGACAATGAAATCTGACATTTCCATTCAAGATGGCAAACAGACACTGCATGATGTACCTCAATGAAGACAGGACCTTCAGCTTAAATTTGAGACAATGTGTACACTCCTGTAAGCTAGAAATATCTTATTGTGTGTAAGATGAAATCATCCCCAGCTCAAAATAGAAACGTCTTGAACCATCTTATTAAAGTCTGAAGAATACGGTCGTGACTCATATCACCGCTCAAACCTCAAAATGTTAGACAGTAACACAAATAATCTAGTGCATATAAATCCAACAGAGCGCAATGCTTCACATGTCTTTTCTTTATGAAAACACAATCCAACAAACTAAAAACACCATCCAAGTACTAAAAATAACTGGGAGGTTGAAATCTGTAATGTAAACCACCGTCTAGTAAATGTGCCATCTATGTTAAACACTAAGATTGCAATAGTGCAGACAGAAGACCCTTATCTGACACTAGACTCACTGTGTGGTCTCAGCATGTCAGAACAAACTAAAAGCATGCTGGTTTAAGTCATGGTCGCAGACAAAGTGAATGATAGGTGGGCTTTATGGCTTTAGATGTTAGATGCAACAAGTCCATGTGCACAGGTTATAGTGTGTAAAACATGACATGCTTCAAATCTGCACTCACTTTTAAATTTATTTCTTAATTACATATTTTAAAATCCTGCAACTCAGTAAACTGCGATATTAGGCAGACCTTTGGGAATTATGAAGACTGTCGAAGGATTATAAACATCCACACTAAGTTCAAAGGTTTGGGTTTGTAAGAATTTTGTTTTCTATTTTTATTTTTATTTCAAATAACTGATTCTATTTTAATATATGATGAAAATTACTATATTTTCCTACTTTTCTTAGTGATTTATAGTGCCAGTTTATCAGGAAGTGACGATTTTGTTCTCTTTATGACTTGTTGGATGGAAACGATGCTTGTTCGCAACTGTTTTATGCGATATTCCAGTTTTGCGCATAAGTTAAATTCGCAACTTTGGATGGAAACCCGGCTATTGACACTTTTCATTAATTTAATATGTCC